GAAGAGTATTGAGGGTACCATGGACTGCTAGGAAAACAAACAGATTCAGCCTGGAAAGGGTTAAACTGGGCAGCTCCCTGGAGGCAAGGATTCTGAGGCTCCATTTAACATACTTTGGACATGTTGTAAGGAGAGACTGGTCCTTGGAGAGGGACGTCATGCTTGGGAGGGTGGAGGGACAGCGCAGGAAGGGAAGGCCCTCTCCGAGGTGGATTGATTCAATGACTGGGGTAATGGGATGGGTGTGTCAGAGGCAGTGCGATTGGCAGAGGACAGAGCAGAGTTTAGGGCTATTGTACATAGGGTCTCTATGTATTGCAAGTGACTCGACGGCACATAACAACAACAGCAGCAGCATTGGATTTATTTATTAGCATTTATATAGCATTACAGCTATAGCAAAAAAAAGTGTTAGCCAATATTATAATACGGATACTGATACTGCTTCAGTTCTTACTAAAAATTAAAGGAGAAAAAAGAGAAATCATTTAAAATTTGCATAATAACTTGAAAATGTGAAATGGCACACATTTTTATGTCCACCCACAAACAAAAAAATTAAGCAACATACAGAATTGAAGCTTTAGTGGCTATAATATATTTGCTAAAGTAGCTCCCAATATTAAAAGGCAATTTTTGCCATCTTTAAATGCTTTAGTAACTTAGGCAGAATTTTAAAATTGTTCTTAAAATAGTAACTTAAAAACACAGACTGATCTCTAGAACATGTACACAATAAGATTTAATAATAACAGCATCATAACAGACTTCTTGGCTTTTAATATCATACTAAGCATCATTCTGTCTTGCTTATCATGCTTGCAAACTATGGCCAGTAAGTAAAAAACAAAAAAGAATTAAAATTATCTTGTGAAACTCCCAAGATCATTACTTCAAAACACGTCAGAGAACATAAACACTTTTTTGCTTTATTATCATAAAGAAATTAATTTTTTATTGATTTCTTATATAACTACTGTTTATATGAAAAGACATATATAGAAAGTTTCTTTTAAAGTAAATTAAATATCTCAAGTGCAAAATGATCTTTAATTCTAATTAAAGCATCTGGTAAAATTAGATCCTTTGAAAAGAGCTTAGAGCACCCATGAAGGGTCATATTCTCACAGTTGATAGATCTTAATATTCTCTTCTGAAAACCTTGTTAGATAAACTGTAGCTGTTTATGAAGTGACTGTTTACACAACATTTATACTACAACCCACACACAGGCTATGTGTGGATACAAGCAAGCTCACAGCAACTTTTCACATCCCATAATCTATCCAGTTGGAGAGGCTACAGAGGGCGCCCCAAACTCTGTCACTAAGTTTCAATTCCTTATCTGGGAAGACTTTCTATCCCTCCTCTAACAGAAAATGGTGAAAAAGATATTTTTGCAGTGCACTTAGACTTCCTTTAAAGGATGAACCAAACAAAGATTGATATAGTCTACCTGCCTAAACTCAAGGCTGCTGCAGTAACTTTCAAAATTAACTTTATGAGCAAATGATTTGGAGGCCAGCTAACCAGAAAACATTAGCTACATTTTCCTGAAATGGTTTTGATACATTTAGAAAAAAGCCAGAAATACTATACTTTCAAAATTTAAGAACATATGGTACACTAATTTTAAAATTCAGCTGGCCCTTGTGTTTAACATAAAAAACCAAGAGTATCACTATTCAAAAGAAATCAGCAAAATCAAGTTTGCTTTAAGAAGAAGTGAAGCTATCTTTCGTCTAAAGGCTCCCCCAGTGTATATATCCCACTGTTCTATTTAGGAACTATTAGTGTTTTTCTTCTTGCCTGAGCATTTCTTGACCTATCTGGATTTGGTAAGCCTATTATTCATAGGGTCACTATGAGTCATGCTTGACTTGATGGCAATCAACAACAATAACAATATAGTATATTTGAGCACTTTCTCATCAGATTTAGCCACTAGTAAAAATAAATCCTCTCTTGGTCTGGCCTTCTTTCCCATTATAACAAGAAATCAAGCATATTAACATTTTCTTTAAATCCTTATAGGATTAAAATCTAATTTCAAAGTCAATTATTTTAATGAAGAACAGTTTTGGAGTTTATCTTTCAGAATTATTCTTCAATATGTTTAATTTTAAAGTGAGGTACAAACAACAGTTTGGATTTAAAAAAAATTCAATGTGATTCTTTTAATGAAATAATTTTCTACATGTAATATCCTTACAACTCAACATTCATTAGCACCTCCACCCTCAAAGGTTTCAGTTGTTTCCTTATTACCCAGCCATTCCCGAGGACTATAAGAAGTGTGACTATTTTACATACCGTCAGCAGACAGGTGGGCATGACTCGAAAAGGCTTTATCTATTTCTAGAAAAGCCATAGTCAACACGATTTCCAAGTTCTTCTCCTTAGGAAGCAAATCCCTTTTGTGGGAAATAAAAAAAAAAAGCCCCAGACAATCATTTTACAATGGATTTTTCCTCTTACTCCATCACTTTTATCTAGAGGAGTATTCCATCTAAAAGACCACCTCAGCTTTCCTTCCAGGTACTTAAGATTTACTGATTAAAGACATACTGAGCACCTACCAGGGACTGTAAGAAGTCACTGGTGGTAGTGGAGGTAGAGGTTTTCAAGCCAACTTTGCAATTCACAGTGACCCCATGCACCACAGAATTAAAAGCTGCCCTTTAATTCATTAGTTCCATGACCAGTTTCTCCCACTATGATCCACAGGGATTTCACTGGCTGATTTTCAGAAGCAGATCACTTCCTACTATGTCTTAATCTCACAGTTCTGTCAAATCTTGGGCAGCAGCAAGTTGTTGTTCTTGTTGTAGTAGTTGTGTGCCATTGAGCCAGAACTGACTCCTAGCTGTCCCTTCTGCAGGTTTTCAGAGTAGAGACTGCATAGGAGGAGACTGCCTATCTTTCTCCTGCAGAGCAGCTAGTGGATTCAAACCACATGCCATTGGGTTGGCAGCACAATTCCTTAGCACTAGGGCCATCAAAGCCCATAGAGCAGCCCACCAAGTCTCCACTGACGGATTTGGTGGCTGAGCGTGGGGCACACTGACTGGGAGTCAACCAGCGTGTGCCATTTGGAAGGCAATAATTTTTCAATTGAATGAGAGGATTAAACCAAACAACTCCTTGGAGGCAAGGATTCTGGGGCTTCGTCTGACATACTTTGGGCATGTTGCAAGGAGGGACAGGTCCTTGGAGAGGGACATCATGCTTGGGAGGGTGGAAGGACAGCGCAAGAGGGGAAGACCCTCTATGAGATGGATTGATTCAGTGATTGGGGTAATCGGAATGGGTGGGTCAGAGGCAGTGCGATTGGCACAGGATAGAGCAGGGTTTAGGACTGTTGTACATAGGGTCGCTATGAGTCGCAAACGACTCGACAGCACGTAACAACAACAACAACAACAACAACAATCAATCAATGCCTTCATGATAAGTCTTTCAGGGCACAAAAATAAAGTCCAAGTCCCTGCCCTTGAAGAATTAATACTGTCATATTAATGACAGTAATAACACTAATAGTGCAGGGTTTCTATGACTTTATAGGACTCAATTGGATACCAAGTGGTTTTATTCCAACTTTTCGAGATCAAGAGTTTCCTAATATTAAATTAAACCACTGAGTTATTTTATGGAATGAGGCAGACAATACATAAATCAACGGATAAACAGTCTGAAGGAGCCCTGGTGCTTGGAATTGACTAGATAGCACATAACAACATATATAACTATACCCAGAAAGATAAGACATGTTCGTGTGGTTTACCTCTGCACACCTCTTCCTCTCCTAATTGTCACGTGTCTGGCAGTAGTTTGGGATCTACAACATGCACTCATAGTAACTGGAGTCAATTAAGTTGTTTAAGGTACTCCAAAACTTTCATTAAGTGCATTTCTTCCACACTAATGCCAAGTGCATTTCTTCCACACTAATGCCAATCTCCAAATATAGGCCAACTATTCAAAGTCACTGACATTGCGAAGGAGGATTTAATGAAGCACCGTGTGTCATGCACTGATAAGAGCGAAGATGCCTTCTTATACATTATCTTACGTACTTTATATTCACTTACATAAAATAATCACAAACCAAGCACTGTAAATTCCGGCCCATACTTTCACAAGTGGCGCCATTTAAGGCACATTTTAGGAATTTCACTGCAAATTAAACCTGTGTCTTTTTTATGCTATAACAAGCTGGGGAAAAGCCCCCAAGCTAGTGCTGTTCTAAGGGGGCAAAGGACCACCATCTCCGCCCCCACCCCTACGAATGACACTGGCAAATCCCAGAGCTGAAAGTTTCCAAGTCCAGAGCAGACGTCTCTGTACGTACATAATGCACTTCTCCATGTGCGTGTGGCAGAAATCAGCGGCCGCGGGTCCGCCGTGCCCATCATACACTGCAAAGTACAAGACCTCCTCGGTCAGCTGGGCGAAGTCAAACCGGTCCTCGTTCTCTTTCCGCTTGCCAATCTGCGAGGCGCAGCCCACGTTCTCCAAGCTGATTTTGGGGATTGGCTTGCCGTACTTAATGCTGGGCGGCAGCAGAATGGGCTCGTCGATACGGTTGTCCCAGATCCCAAAGCTGTCCCAGGTGGCTGGCCTCCCGCTGCCGTCGGGGTCAAAGCGAGAGCTGTGGCACGCGGGGGTCATCCGCCGGTCGTCCTGCAGCAGGCGGGAGCTGAGCAGCACCCTCCGTCTCACCTGGTGACCGCCACTTCGAACCAAAGTAATCAAGGCAGCTGTTGACATCACTCAGCTCCACTGGGCCTGGTAGCACTGGAAAGGCCAACGGACCAATAACGGAATGTCTTCAAGAAAGACCGGGTAAAAAAGAGAGGGGGGAGTCCATCAGTAATTTTGAGCAGCATAACTGATAGGTCATTTTTGTCAGATGCAGTCAATTGCAGTGAGCTAGTTTGCTCGGCTCCACGGTCAACACGCCTTGGCACCAGCAGCCAGGAAATCAAAAAGTGTATTGCGATGGGAAAGTCTGCGGTTAGGGACCTCTCTAAACTACTCAAGAGTAACGGTGTCTCTCTGGAGACTAAGGTGTGCCTGATACAGGCCAAGGTCTTTGCAATCACTTGTTATGCATGAGAGAGTTGGACAATGACTAGGGAGGACAGAAGGAGAATTGATGCCTTTGAGCTGTGGTGCTGGAGAAGAGTATTGAATGTACCATGGACTGCCAAGAAGAAAAACAGATTCATCCCGAAGAGGGTTAAACCAAGCTACTCCTTGGAGACAAGGATTCTGGGGCTTTGTCTGACATACTTTGGGCATGTTGCAAGGAGGGACAGGTCCTTGGAGAGGGACATCATGCTTGGGAGGGTGGAAGGACGGCGTAAGAGGGGAAGACCCTCTACGAGATGGATTGATTCAGTGACTGGGGTAATCGGGATGGGTGTGTCAGAGGCAGTGCGATTGGCACAGGATAGAGTAGGTTTAGGGCTGTTGTATATAGGTCGCTATGAGTCGTAAACAACTCGATGGCACATAACAACAAAAACAATAACTGGTCACCTAGCAGGGAAGGAGCTGCACTGGCTGTGCAGAGGCTCACTGTTTGAATTGGCCAGCAGCTCCCTGGGAGAAAGATGAGCAATCTCTTCACTTGTAGTTTACAGCCTCTGAAAATCCACTGGATGGTCAGTTATGAGTCAGTTCCTATGCAATGCACGTAACAATAACAACAACAATCAGGTGTGAAAGTGGAACATAGTTCCACAGGGTTATCAGGGCTGTAACCTTTTGGAAGTCAATCACCAGGCCTTTCTTCCTAGGCACCTCAGGTGTGTCTGAGCTGTCAACCTTTCTGTTAGTTAATCAAATGCCCATTTGTACTACCCTTTATATCCTGCTACCCAGGGTGAAGGATACAAAGCATCTAATGCTCAGTGCATGCTTTGCCACTGTATATGGCTTTTTAGCAGTTTAACTCTGATAAATAAATATATATATATTTATAAGATGAAAAGCAATTCACCTATCCCGCTTATAACTATATAGATATTCTGGTGACCTAGTCCATAGAAAGTTGAGCTACTAACCCAAGTTCTCTGGAAGTTCAAATCCACCACTAGCTCCTGAGGAGAAAGATGGGCAATATCCTCCCATGTCATTTACAGACTCAGAAACCCAATAAATGGTCAGTTTCAAATTGGTTCTGATGCAATAGCAAAGACAGACTTCATTTATAGTATATAAATTTAAATTCTAAAAAAGTTGACAGTGTGTTAGGGATGTAAAGAAGTAAAAAAAATGCAGCTCACAAAAAACCCCTCACAAACACAACCCCTCAAATTTGCTGCTGTCAAGTTGGAACTTGTAGCTAATCCTCCAATGGGTTTTCTAAGGCTGTAAGTTGCCTAAAAGCCCATGTTTTTCCCTCAGAGTAGCTGGTGGATTTGAACTACCTGCCCTTGGGTTGGCACAACAACTAACAAGGCCACCTATGAACTTACTGCCATTGAGTTTGAATTCAACTATAGCTGACCCTCCAGGAGCCTTTCAGAGACAGTAATTTGCATGAAGAGATTGCCTATCTGTCTTCCTTGAAGCAGCTAGTAGATTCAAACCTCATGCCTTTGGGTTGGCAGCACAGCTCCTTATCCAACAGGCCACAAGAGTCTGAAACATAAAATGCAGAGTCCCAAAACAACTATGAGATATCACTTCACCCTGTAAGAAGAGCAAAATTTAACAGAACAGCAAATATTAAATGCTGGCAAGGTTGTGGAAACTAGAACCCTTATTCACTGTTGGTGGGAGTATAAAATGATGCAACCACTATGGAAGGCTGTATGGCACTTTCTCAAAAAGTTTCAAATAGAAATACCATTTGACAAGATTCACACCTCACTCCATATACAAAAACTAACTCAAGGTGGATCATGGACCTAGGACAAAAACCAAGGACTATAAGCTTCAATAAAGAAAAGCTTGGAAGAACTCTAGAAGTCCTAATTCACAACATAAACAGTCTTACAAGTATCCTGGAAAGTCTACAACCAGAAGAAGAAAAAAATAGATGAATGGGACCTTCTAAGAATCAAATCCCCATGCACATCCAACAACTTCTCCAACAGGGTAAAAAGAGAAGCCACAGACTGGGAAAAAGTATTTGGTAATGACATGTCAGATAAGGGACTTATATCTAGAATTTATAAAATACTTGAGCACCACAAAAAGATAAAGGTAAACATTCCAATAGAAAAATGAGCACAGGATATGAACAGACACTTCACCAAAGAAGACATTCAGATGGCCAACAAGCACATGAAGAAATGTTCAAAATCCCTAGCTCTAAGAGAGATGCAAAACAAAACAACTATGAGATATCATCTCACCCCAATAAGAATAGCAAAATTTAGGAACCCTTATTTACTGCTTGTGGAAGTGTAAAATGGTACAACCACTGTGGAAGGTGGTGTGGCACTTTCTCAAAAAGTTGCAAATAGAGATACCAATTGACCATTGCTGGGAATATATTCCAAAGAGACCATAACTGCTACCCAAGCAGATATATGCACGCCCATGTTTATTGTGGCTTTGTTCACAAAAGCAAGGATTGGAATCAACCTAGGTGCCCATCAACAAACAAATGGATAGAAAAGCTGTGGTATATTCACACAATGGAATACTACACCACATTGAAAAACAAGGAACCCATGCAATATTATTCAAAATGGGTGACCCTGGAGGACATTATGCTGAGTGAAATATCTCAGTCACAAAAAGACAAATACTGCACAATACCACTGTTGTAAAACAGGACTGACATTGGGGTTGGGGGGAGACTGAGAAAGATGGGATAAATAATGTATACTGCATTGAAACAGATGAGGGAGAAAACTATTTAAAAGGGATATGTGATTAGGTATATTTTCATGACAGGAGTCCAGAACGAAGTCTGCATAGTGGAGAGGACTTGGAGGAAGGATTGTAAAACAATGAACGAATTTTTCTTTTACTTTTTAAAGAAAAGAGTGAACTGGGGGGAGGGGTAGGCAGGGAGAAAGCTGCAACAATGAATTAATGGAAATCCAAAGTCTCTGTAAATTTTCATTGAAATTAAGAATTTAAAAAAATTTTAGGAAAAAAAGAAATACCATTTAAACCAACAATGCTACTACTGAGAATTTACCATAAAGAAACCATAATCTCCACCCAAGCAGATTATTCACACCCATGTTTATTGTGGCTGGCTTTGTTCACAATAGCAAAGAGTTGGAAACAACCCAAGTGCCCATCAACAAACAAATGGCTAGAGAAGCTCTGGTATATTCACACAATGGAATACCATGCAGCATTGAAAACAAGAAACACTGAAACATTATACAAAATGGGTGACCCTGGAGGGCATTACGCTGAGTGAAATATCTCAGTCATAAAAAGGCCACTATTGTAAAACGGGACTGACATCGGGGTTGAGGGAAGACAGAGAAGGAGGGGCGAATGATGTATACTGCATTGAAACAGATGAAGGAGAGAACTGTTTAAAAGGGACATATGACTGGGTATTATTGTCATGACAGGAGTCCAGAATGAAGGCTGCACAGTGGAGTGGACTTGGAAGGGATTGAATAACAATGAGAGTTTTACTTTTCAAGGAGAAGAGTCAATTGGGGAGAGGGGGTGGACAGGGAGAAAGGTGCAACAATGAATGAATGGAAATCCCAAGTCTCTGTAGACTTTCACTAAAATTAACTAAAAAAAAAAAGTGCAGATTCCTAGTCAGCAAGTCTGAGGTAGGGCTTAATAGTCTGCATTTCTAATAGGCTTCCAGGTGATGCTGAAGCTGCTGGACTGCAAGGGATATTCTGAGCAATAAAAACATAAAAGTAAGGGCAAAATACTTAAAATAATAACAAAAATAAACTTTTATGAGACAGAAATTAAAAAAAAGAAAGGTAAATAACTGGTTGACAGAATACTTAGGGGAGTTCTGAACATAAAGAATGGCCAGCCTTCAGCAAAGCCAGAATCTAGGATTTAAGCATTTTGTTTGTTTGTTTTAAGACCTCTCAACTTTAAGTCTTTTTATTTTATTGAAGTCTTTTTATAGTACATTATCAGGGTTACAGGAGGCAGTTCATGCATGCAACATCATACCTACAAAAGCAAGTCAGTTCTAATGTTTCCCTTTGTGTCAAACATGCATGGACTCTGGGGAGGTGCATGTGACCCAGGAAATGAAAGGCAATCCTCTGTAACAAGCAGCCCTGGTTTATGAACAATTGATCTCATGCACTTACACTAAGCTGCAGCTCCCCTCCTCCAACCCAGCAGCCTACCCACACCTCCCCACCATTGCAGATACCTCCAGGAGAGAGAGCACCTCAGCGTTCCTTGAAACTCTTACTCTGGAAAAGTGAGAGAGGGGTTTTCCAAGTCCAGTACACATTTACTTCCAGCCTCCACCTAAAAGCTCAACCCAAAAACCTAATCTTGTACCATAAGAACGGTCAGGGGAATTCCTAATCACTTGCAGAGATGGCTGTATTTCCTGGTGGTTTTCTACAGAAACAAAGTCCAAAGCAGAAATTAATTTCCCTAGTATTTTCTTTAAGGAGCTCCGTGGAGTGGCATAGTCCATACGGAGTTTTGCTGCTAAACACAAAGACAGCTCTCTGGGAGTTCAAATCCATCAGTGGCTGCACAGAAGAAAGATGGGCAAATGCCTCCTAGTCAACATACAGCCTTTGAAAACCCACTGAAGGGCTGTCTATGAGCTGCTTCTAACTACAGTTATGAGTTGAGGACTCAAATTTTAAGTTGAGTTTTCTTTGGTTTTTTTTTAAGAAAT